AAAAAAAAAAAACCACAAAAAAACACACACCACCAAAAAACCGACACTTGCAATGAGTGAAAACCGGCCGGTTTGCGGTGACGCGGAGGAGCGGGCTCGGCTCAGCCCTCCGGGCGGGCAGCCCACACGAGACTGAACCCGGAGTGCGGCCCAGGTCCTGCGGGTCCCCGCCTGAGAGCTCTGAGGAGCAGCCGGTGTGTTCTTAGAGCTCAATTTTAAAAGCAATGCCCAAACCCTGGGTTAAAACTCACAAAGAGAAAACTCCTGTCTTTGCCCCCTCCTCAATCCTCGCGAATACAACAGCGAGGGTCTTGCTGGAGGAGCTCTGTGAGAACCTCAGCTCAAGGGGCTCAGAAGGGTTTGGGTGGTGAAGGAACTGAAGGAACAGTTTCAAACTGAAATCAAAAGGGTTTGGGTGGTGAAGGAACAGTTTCATCAGCCGGGGCTATTAAAATAAATGAGGAACGCAGGAACTGGCTAGAGCAAAGCCAGCAAATGCGTTGCGAAAGGAAGCGTCAGGCTGGGGGAGTTTAGGAACAGTTCTTGCAGCTTTGCGTGAAACCTTATATATGAATATTAAATAGCTGCGTAAGGCAGAAACGTGGTTGAGGGCACAAAGGCAATGACAAATAGGAAGGCGGGAGGAATAATTGAATACACCTAAAAAAAAAAAAAACCTAAACGTTAAGATGGCTCTTAAAAACGAAAAGAAAAAAAAAATATCACTCAGAATTAAGAATTTCTGCCAGGGACTGAGAAAACGTAGGGAAGAGGAAGAAAGAGGGATGCGTGCCCTCTGCCACCGGCGTTTGCTTGTGCCCTGATGCGACGCGAGTCAGCGAGGAATTGCAAACCGAGATCTGCGCCGTCGCGCGTGGCTCGGGCAAGAGCAGGACACGTGGCCCGAAGATGAACGCAGAGCAGAATCCTTGCAAAGGAGGGCTGTTAAATAAGATGAGCAAAATGGAGAGCTATTTAAGGAGGGTTTGGCTTGCCTCGCTTAGCACAACTGAGGCATAAGTGAGAACTCGCTGCCTCTGTTCCTGTAACGCACTCGCCATGTGGGATGCTATATTCAATTCTGGTCACTATTTCTATATATAAACAGGGCAGATCTGCAAACGGAGCTCGGGGAAAAAAGGACAGGGCTGATGACAGACTGAGGATATCTTCAGCCTATAGTTAAGACAGAAGCTTGAGGGTCACAAAATAATGTCACAGAAAAAGACTTTCATCACAAGAATTGGCATCACAAAGGGGAGATGAGAGCACTGCTCTCCAACAAGGGTGGAAGAAAGATGCTCTGCCATTTTTTTTTCCCCGTGGTGTATCAGGGAGAAACAGGAATTTGTTTCCGTCTGAGACACCACTCCTGCTCATTTGTGTGCTTTTATACCACAGCATTGTAAGAGCCTGCCAGGAAGGCTTTTGTACCCATCTCTTCAGCCTCCTTCCAAACCTTTGATCCGGCCATTCTCGTGGCTAACAGACAGGAACCTAACTTTTCTGTGTGTTTTGCAAATCACACCCCTGGGATTCTACAAATAAATTCAAAGTGTAAGAGAAAGAAGTAAAGTGTATATACGGGCTCGCTGAGAGGTTCTTTATGGGAGACTTAGAGGCATCGTGCACAGCAGAGAACATAAAGGGTGTTTCCCTGCCTAAGATCAGAGGAAGCCCCTCTCCTTGGTATGTCAGGTACTGGGGATAACAAGAACTGCCTGAAGTATAATAAAGCCTAGACACAGCCCTGTGATCTGGGAGACCTGCAGGACAGCTGCGATGGTACCCAGAGGTGCTGTTTTCTTACCAAGATTATTCTTATACCACGTAAAGAGTAACTGAAGGGGCTGGCAGGTGCCTAGACCAGCTCTTCTTGGAGCCAGCTCACTCCTTCGTATCCATCTGATACGGGGCTACGAGGAGTAGTTTGGTTCAGGTGCATTCCTGAATTAAGTGATGCTCACAGAGCTCAAAGCCCTGACAGTGGAAAAACCTGGCCATTGCTATCATAAACAAAGAGGCTTCATTAGGAGCATGAGTCTACGTAAAAACTTCTGCCATAAAGAACTGGCTCAGATTAGTCAAGCAAACCACTTATTTACTGTGTTTAATGTACAGGAAGCATTACACTGATTACAGAGACATTAAATAGATTCTTACATGGCACTACCGAGCAGGATTTGTCACAAACACGGCACAGACTTCACAGCCTTAATGTTATTCATGACCAAGTGCCGAAATGACAACAAAGCTGAGCGTGTAACAGCCAAAAAAAAAAAAAAAAAAAAGCACCAGGAAGGCTCCGCCACCGCTAGCATCTACAATTATTGCAACAAATCGGGGGTTTACTGCACAAAAGGAGCTATCCCAAGTAACACGGGAAACGCGGATGTCGTCGTAACACTGATCGTTTTTCACCGCTTGGCCAAACACGTGCCGAAATTTGCTCTGTCGTACCACTCGCCTCATTGTGTCTGCGGAGAAGAGGAACGGCAAAAGGAGGAGATCAGTTACAGGTGCCAAGGACCTCCGCGGACCCGCGCATCTGCGCCATCACCCAGCTTCCAGCAACACACAGGAAAAACAGAAATACAGCCTCACCCACTGCTCCTGCACCTTGCTTTGGACCTGCTAAGTTCTCAGCCAGTTTTGCCTTGGGTTTTGGTTTTTTTTTTTGTTTTGTTTTTTAAATAAAGTTTGGGGCTGTCTTGCACCGAACAACTGAACTGCATTTCCAAGGGTGCTTTACAGAAAGAATTTGCTGGTTAAGCATCAGTTTTCCCCATTGTAAATGTATTCTCTTATTGCAGTAAAGGAAGTTCCTAATCCTAAAAGCAGTTTTTAGACAAGTCTCCACATATTTTCGGGGATAAATCTGGTCTCAGATTGAACTTGTTTACTTTCAAGTCAGACAGGGTCCAGAAGATGTAAATAAAAATGCAAGCTCTGAAAATCCGGTGTTCCTGTGAAGTGGTTCCACATGTTTGCTAGCTTCCATTTCTTTCTTCTAACTCCAAAATCTCACTGAAAAAATAATAAAATTAAGTCTCCTAGGCAGAAAGGAGTAATGGAAACAAGCTAATGACTCAAATTAACTTAGTGTGTCTGTAGCACTTCTCCTTCTCTTGAGAAAAATAATTTTCAAGAAGGCTTGAGTTAGAATAGAGGGAAAGGGACTAGCATGGAAAATTCCAGCACTCGAGCCCTGGAAGAAGACACGGGCACAACACCGCCTGTGGACACCAACCCTGGAAGCGAGCAACTGTCCTGCCTTCCCCGTACACAACCTTACGGTGCCCTCGCATCTGGGAAGGGCTTTTCCCATCGTACAAGATTTTTTCCCCTCAGATGGTGCTCGCGGGAGGAAGAGGAGCCTCCATATAGCATCTTGCTTTTACATCTGAGAAAAATATTTCTGTCTCAGTCTCGGGGGAAAGCAAAAAAAATTTTTAAAAAATGAAAATAAGCAGAGTCCACCTCCTATCTCGCCTCCCAGTCGGTCCCCAAGCACATGCAGAGGCTGGGAAAAACTGCTCAAGCTTCACGGAGATTCTTGCTCCAGCCCCAGCAGCCTGATGCTCTCAAGTGAGAGACTCTGAACGCGGGCTCCAGCACGACTCCCTCTGCACAGCCTGTCTGCAGCAGAAGTGATAAAAGGTTCTACGTCTGTCTCTAACTGCAAAGGCTTTGCCTGAAAGCGCAGAGAAAAAGAGACTTCAGAATGATGGCTGTTTTGTAGTCTCGGAGGTTTAAAAAAAAAAAATAAAATTAACAGCAACAAAAAACTGAATAACTAGCAGAAAGCACTCATCAGAGCCAGGAAATAAGCAGTCAGGTAGTATGTTTGAAGAGGAGAAAAATGTTTACCATTACATTACAGCTATTGAGTGAAATACTACAGTTTCTGCATGGATAAAAGGAGAAGAAAAAAAAAAAAAAAAAAAAAAAAAAAAAAAAAAAAA